CTTCCCCCCCCCCCCCTTCCCTGCCAGACTGTGCCTACCCTGAACTAAAGGATAGCTGGTAAGCTAACTGGTTATCACTGCACTTACTGGTTAAACAATCGCTAAATCTTTTACATCCCTAAAATGTACCTGTTTGTTTTCCAACTCTTAAATTATCCTTTTTCTTTTCTTCAAGAATAACTTGAGAAAGAGAAGTGCTTTGTCATTTGCAGTTCTTAGTAGATGGTAATATCTTTAACTGAGGACTTAAGTAAATTATGTAGTATTTTGACAAAAAGTACGTTTAAATAAATATGCTTGTCTTGAGGCACTCTGGTACATGCCAACCTGTCTCCTTAGCCTCACCTTTCTTTTTCTGTCCATTCTTCTACGCTGTCCTGAGCCAGCCATGGCTTGCTGCTGATTTATTTAGGCTTATATTCCACCCCATCCAGAAAGGCTCATACTGGTATACAATAACAGACAAAACCCACAAGATGAGATATTCCTCGTCTCTCAAACCATCTGTCTCCTTTTACAACAGGTTTGATATCTAGCTTTTAATTCATAGCTTACCTGTTGGATTTTGCATTAGCTGACATAAAATAAAAATTTTAAACTGACAAAATATGTTTTATTAAAAAATACAAAACCAAACTTGCCATTTTTTGTTTATAATGGCTTGTACCTTGTTATTTTAATGTAGCTTTATAACACGAATATTCTTTTGGTTTTGAAGATATAGTCTTAAAGAATACGTCTTCCTAGTCTTTTTCTTCAGGTTCTGATAAGCAGGAATAATGCTATACCTAATTGAAACAATACATACCTTGAGGTCAGCAGTCGAGCAGTAGAAATAGTTTCTGGATGTCTCCTTCCTTGGCAGTTGCAATAGTGAAAGAGGAAGTGATTAGAATAGGTAAGAAAAAAGTAAGATCACTAGCTGCTAGAGCAGTAAGCTTAAGCTGCTAGAGACTGTTTCAGCATAAAATGTTGATAAGAATGGAGTAGGTGGCCAAGTGGGGAAACCCATTCCGTGCCTGGATGCCCATTAGAGCTATCAGTTGACTTCAGTTTTCCTCCTACCTGTTGCTGTGCAGGCAAGGGATACCATTGCATTGTGGGAACTTTTGTAATGAAAAAGCTTTGATGGATTTTCCAAGCAACAGTTGCCCAGTCATGGGACTGCAAGGCAGTCTATTGAATGGCAACACATGATTGTATTTGCCACCTGGGCACATTGTAGTTTGATGTCTTTATTGGTATGTTTCAAAAGTGTTGTGGGCCTTACTACATGTCATTACTTGATTGTGCAACATGCTGTTTATATTTAGGCTCTTGTAGTTAAAGCTTTTTTTTTTTTTTTTTCTGGCATCCAAGTGTTTCATTATGATGAAACTATAGCTTTGTGCTTGTGATAACAAACATGACTTAAAATCTTTTTATAACCAAGAACAAGATGACATTTGTTTTTGTTTTCTAAAATCTTGATACTCAAATGTACAAAAAGGACATAGGGCAAAAGTCAGCTTTAAAAAAGCTGCTGTTTGTATTCTGCTTACTGTGTGCATGGCACTGCCAAGAACCAACGACTAATCCAAGAAAAGCTTAACAGTGAGCATTTTATGATCCTTCCATCCTTTCTTCAAGGAACTAATCTAGCTTTAATATGCTGTCAGATGAATTAAAATCATTCAAGTTGTTCCAGTTAGTTATGGGAGGTTTTCTTAAGTCCTCGGTCCCTTGTGCCAAACTCTCTTCCCAGTTAATGGTTCTGTCCCCTGTATTTGATGCATTTAATATTGTTGAGACACAGGAGAGGGGAAAGAAACCCAAATGTGGTTTTTCAAGATTTCTAAAGTATAGAAAATGAATTCAAGTTTTATGGTAAGAATCTGTCATAGTAAATTCTTACTGAAATTTTGTTAGGGCTCAGATGAGTACCCGAGAATATTTTAAGAGATGACAGATTTGCAGTTGAGTTTATGGAACTCATTTTTAGTTTCAAAACTAGAAGCCTGAAAATTTGTGGCTTAGTCCTAAGAGTCACATATATTTTTCTTTTTTTTAAACTCAGAACTCTGAATATATTCATGTTAAGATTTTTCTGCTAAATGTTCTCTCATTATTACCAGGGGGTACATCTACATGTGCTATTAATGAGCAACAATAAATTCTGTTGCATACCATGCCTGAGTTTATTGCTCCCAGACGCTGTATTTGAACCTGTACCCAAGACTGTGACACATGCTGTTAGGGGCCCTGAGGCTCAGCTTGCCAGTGCAGAGCTGCTCCAGCCTGGCTCAGAGTGCTGCAGAGGGGCTGGCTGAGGCATGAGAGTGCTCCAGTGCAGGGCTAGCTGGCAGGCAGCCTCCTCACTGAAGCACTCTTTTTGCCACAGCCAGCCCCATCAGTGTCTACGTGGGCACTGCTGCAAAGTAAAAAAAAAAACCACTGTAGGATAGTACTTGTGTTTACAAGTACTAAGCTGTGGCAGAGTTAATGGGCGTATCTACACCTGCATTACGGCGCTTTGCCTAATGTGCATTAAATTTAGTGCCTCCAATGTGACATAATAAACAAATGCACGTTAGGCTGCCTTAATGCGCAGTAACTAATGCACATGGTTTTTAAGTGATGCTTAATGCACAATAGCCTATTTTACTGTGCATTAGCTTAATAGCGCAATTTTTATGTGATGCTTTAATGTGCAGTAACATCAGCTACTGTGCATGTCTACATGTGTACATGCATCCATTAGTTCTGTCCTAATAGCATTGCTCACTTAGGAACTAATTAGGCAACAGGAAGCAGAAAGCGGAGCAGCAGATCAGGTAGGAGAAGAGGATCCGAATGACACTTAGGGAGGGTGCAGGGCTAATTTTGTGGGATGCCTGACAAAAAGATTGGCCTCCACCAGATGCGACCTGAGCAGGGTGCAGGGCCCAGGGCAAATCAGCCTGTGTGGGGCCCCACTCCTGGACTTGAGGAAACTGGCAGCGGATATGGGGGGTTCTGAACAGCCTGATGTAAAGCCAGCGGCAGCGCTCTGCCTGGCTCCACAGGGCCGCCCAAAGCACAGGGTCCAGGGTAGTTGCCCCAGTTTGTCCCCCCTAGGTACAGCCCTGGCGCCCACTGGGCTAGTATGTAGCAACATGAGAAATGCTCTGTATTGGGTCAGACAGTAGGTCCATCTAGCCCAGTGTCCTGTCTCTGAGTGCCCCAGAGTGCATGGTGGGAAGGAGGGGGAAGTGAACAGGGCATGTCCAGAATCTTCTACCCCCATTGCAACTATCTATCTTCTCATTGCAACTTTCAGCATTCTGAGGCTTTAGGAGTTCTGATTCAAAGGCTAAATATGAAAGTTGCATTTTGTTGGGGGAAGGGTCCTGATAAAATTGTTTATTGAGACTTTTTGCACAAAATGAATATATTTTCAACTTCTCCACAGATGTCTAAATTCATGTACATATTGTAAAACGAAGCATGCCCGAGGAGACCTAGCAAGTTATCCAATTGAAGAGCTAGTGGACAGAGCCAAACAGTCTTTTCAAGGTAAGGGACTTTCTGCTGTACCCAAGTCACTTTTGAAGTGTCCTACTCTCATAAGGAATTTCCATATAGATAATGGACATGGATGGCAGTAAGTTATTGAATTATTTGTATTCTGAGTATGTTGAAAGTGCATGTGCTGGTGCCTCTTTGACCCCCTCTACACATTACAAGTATCATGCAATTAATTGGTTAATTGTGCAATTACCTTGAGACCAGCTGCATGTGCAAAGTTGCTGTCATGCCATAAAAAAATCCAACCAGCTATAAAGTTAGACCTCAAAACTCTATATTTACTTTATAGCTGGTTCTGTTGAGCTTTAATTTGCATGTGTAGCAGAGTCTCCTAAGCAGCTGGGAGTCCCATCATCCACCTGAGGCTGGGAGACCAGCCGGGTCCCAGCACCTGTGGGTTGCATCTGTGATCTCCCAGCCTCAGCAGTGCATGCAGCCCCCAGGGTTGGGAGATCATGGCTGCCACGGGGCTGGCGGGGCATGCAAAGAGTTATAATGCCATCAGGGGTACAGCAGCTGTGATCTCTCAGCCCTGGAGGTTTCACACCCTACCCCCAGGCTGAGAGATCACAGCAGCTGCCATTTTCCAGCAACGAGGGTCTCACACATCCCCGATGCTGGGAATTCTCCGAATCAGGCTCCCCCGCTCTGGCAACAAGGCACAATGGAATCTAATTCATGATTGTGTGGATTGTGCATTAGGTTCTATTGCGCCCTTTACGTGCACATATAGAGGGGCCCTCTAATTCTGTTCTAGTCTTAGTGTGTTATGCACCTGTTCTGTGGTAATATTAGCTTCCAAAAGAAGTACAGGTATTTAGTGGGTATAAATTGTATCCATAATAACTCCCATCTCAGGATTTATTAATGATGGGGACCTTTACTTCAGAATATTTTTTGCCTTTATTTTAAAAAGAAGTAGAGGAGAAACATTTTTGCTTTCAGACCCTTTTCTTGGAGAGTAAAAATTGCTAACATACTAAAACAGGTTTTATGGATTGTTAATCCTTCCCTTTGTGTATTTTGACACAGTGATTCAATTATTTTACATAAAAATCCAGTTCCTGTATGCCAACAGAAAAAAAAAAATGTTAAAGCTTCATTACAGTACTTAAAATTCTGTAGTTTTAAAATGCAGTGCTTTTCTGCCAAATTGGTTCTTTTTAGTTCCTCTAAGATGCGTCCATCAGTGACACAGTTTAAGGATTTATTCTGAAGTAATTAAGACCTAGCATTTCTTTTGTAGGAGAGAGTGAATGATTTGTATGTTTTAACCTGAGTGGAAAAAATGTAATGGTGTCATTTCATATATTGTTGTATTTGTGAGCATTTAATTGGAATCTCTTATGCCACCATTTTGTAGGGTCTCTGTCTTTCCAAAACTCATATGCTTGATTGGGAAGTGTTACAGTCTGCGTAAAAATACTAATGCTTAGAGTTTGTCTTGGAGTACATATTTCACTTTCCCCTTCCTACATGGCAGTTGATATACAAATATTGTACCAGTGTAATTTTTGGTGTAACCTGACTAAATTCATTGTTGTTGTTCCAGAGATAAATTTACTTACTGTGTTAAAGTAGTTTAACTATTGTAGAATAAACCAAGGTAATTCAGATTGAAGGGCTTCTCTTTACATGTGCCAATCATACTTTTGCACCTAGATATAGCATCAAATATAGCTTGCGATATCAAAAGGTTTTTCAGACACCTGCAGTATATAAGCACAAAAAATATGGATTTTTCTTAATACATAATTCATACTTAATTATGAATATCCTGGTGTTTAATTGGGCCAGAATATAAAAGTCCTTACTTCTGTGGAATAAAAATTGAAACATGGATGTAAGTTTTTAGGGTCTGGCTATAAATCATAAATGGATGCTTTAGGAATTACTAAACCCCACAACACTTAAGCTAAGTATAGACATTTAGAAAGCTAGAGGCAGAATTAATCAAACCATTCTGGGTTTCTCTAAGATGAGTAGAATAGATCAGGAATGAACAGAACATACATTCTCCCATCAGGGGATGGGGATGAACGGGGACTGGGATGCCTGTACTGGCTGAGGCCAGCAGGCTGGGACCACTCCTACATGCTTCCCAGTATGTTGGACACTGCAGAAGGCATCTGATCAGGAGACCATGTCTGATTGGCTGCTGGGCGCACTCCCCCAACCCCCTGCTGTTAGTTCGGGGCGGGAGAGGGGAGAACAGCACAGACTCTCTCCCCAGCCCCTCCTCCCTCAGCTGCCAGTGGTGGCCAGGAGGGTGGAAGGAGGGAAGAAAGTAGAGGCCCCCACCTGGCCCCTCCTGACCCAGACAGAAATGCTGGGGGGGGCATGTGACAGGATTTTTCCTCTCTCCTGCAGACTAGCTCAGCACAGTTTCATTCTCTAGCCCCACTGCCTGCCAGATGAGAGGGGCTGGGGTGGGGGGAAGAGGAGACAGCAGAGGTACCTCCTGACCCCCCCCCAGCTGGGGTGGCATATAGCAGGGGCTTTCTCCCCTCCTCCATTGACTGGCCCAGTGCAGAGTGAAGTTGGGCCAGTGAGTGGGAGAGGGGAGAAAGCCCCCTCTATGCCTCCCCCAGCAGTTGTGGCTGGGGGCCTCTGCTTTTCCCCCTTCCCCATCCCACCCCCCTCAGAGGTAGCAACTTGCAGGGGGTTGGGTTGTGTAGTCTGGGCCATCCAGTCAGCCAACCCAGCCAGGCAGGGGCAGCAGCTGTGGGGGGAGAAGGCCCTTCCACCATTTTTAAACCAATCTATGTGTGGTAAGCTTTCAGTGGTGATGTATAGGGAGTGCACAGGGGTGCACGTGCACCCCCTGAGAGCACCGGTGCACCGCTGACCAGATGTGCTCACCACTCAGTGCCCCCTGGTTGGCGAGATTGGCTGCTGACTGGTCACTGGGGGGGCACATGCCCCCCACCCCCTCGACTAAGGTGGCACCAGTTGCCCATGTAACCTTCTGTTCTCTTACAGGTTGTGACCGGTTTCTGATCATTTATACCAGTTTTTGTAATTTCTGTACCTAGCCTTAAACACATTTATACAGAACCAGGAATGCTTTCTTCAACTGAGGCCTGAGCTTGACATTTTTCTTTCAGGTTAAATGTTGTTAAGAAGGAAATCCTCTTCTATATGTATTAAATATAGTGCTCTTGTGAGCTAAACAGTCTCTTTCATCCAGTTCTCTATGAACTCTCTTGTTAAATGTAACTATAAGATTTCATTTATTTCTGTGGGTTTCCCCCCTCCTTCCCTCCCATCTATGCATATACCTTCATAGAATATTGTAGCAACTAATGTTTAACTGCTGTTTTTAATGCTGTACCATTAGCTAGTGTAGTAAATTATGCAGTGTCCAGTGCTGGCTATTGCACCAACCAAGATATTTATGTCCCTGTTGTATATATGCATGCATCTATTGTTTTACAATCTCATGTACCAACTTGTATGCAAATACTGTTAAAAACATATTCTTCGCTGGACGAATGTAGTTTTTCTCCAGTTACAGTAGTTAACTCCAGTTAGAGAAGTGAGTTTTTGGAGGTAATTGGTTTAAGTAACAAGGAAATATGAAATTTCCATTCAGGATAATCTGCTTTGAACCTGGTCATTAATACAATTCAAGAACAACTGTCGCTTAGCTTGCCTTTCATCAATATTTAATAATATGAACCTACATTTGATGTTTTAAGACTATACTTTTTTATCCTTCCTTTCAGTTTGAATTAAATAAAATGTAAAATATACCCAATTTAGCTGTATTTATTATTATTCATATCACAGTACCATTCAGTTACCCCTGTTGAAATTTTATGAACTAATTTGAAGCAAGGTTCAATAAGTACAAATAAGAAATCAAAGGAGAGAGCATGTAAGTAATGAAGATAATTTTACATCATCATGTCATTGGTTAAGATTATTAATTATGAATCTGGATTTTTATGTCAGCTTGATGTGGTTGATTTTGATATGCAATGTGACTACACAAATATGAGAAGTCAGATTATGTAATATTGCTCTCTCTGCCTAATGCTGGCCATTACAGAAAAGTGTTTTGAATATCAACTATCGCACATTTGGATTACAAATGGAGTAGGAATAAACCGTGGGGTACTGAAGCAATTATTCCTCTAAACATTGGCTCCCTAAAATATTCTTATTTCTTGAAGAGAAATTTGTTTTTAGTTTGGTGTTTGAAACTTTTTTTGAAGGATTTTGTGAAGTCCTTCGCAGCAGCCCTCCCCAGAGTGCTCAAAAGCCCTCCCTGGCTTGCCAAAGGCATTCAGGAACACCTGAAAGCCAAAAAGGTTTACAGCCAGTGGAAGGGAGGGGCTATTACCCAAGAGGAGTATACCTCCATCGCTTGGGTCTGTAGGGGGGCTGTTAGGAAAGATAAGGCAGATATGGAACTAGGGCTTGGATCAAGGATGACAAGAAGTCCTTTTTTAAATGCATAGGGAGTATGAAGAAGGCACTCGGTAATGTGAGGCCCCTGCAGGGTATGCTTGGCAATCTGGTGGTTGCACCAAAGGAAAAGGCAGACCTTTTAAACGAATTCTTTGCCTCTATTTTTTTGTGCAGGTACCAGGATATCTCCCCCACTGGGATTCAGGATGGACTCAGGAGAGACTCTGCCAGGCCTAGGGTCAGGGAGAACTGAGTTAGGGAGCTTCTGGAGGGGCTGGATGTGTTCAAATCAGCAGCTCCAGACACCCCAGTGTGCTGAGGGAATTGGCAGGGGTCATCACAGGCCCCCTGGCATGGCTTTATGAGCACTCGTAGTGCTCTGGCCAGGTGCCAGAAGACTGGAAGAAGGCCAGTGTGGTCCCCATTTTCAAAAAAGGGAGGAGAGAGGACCTGGGCAACTATAGGACCGTTAGTCTTACTTAGATCCTGGGGAAGGTATTTGATAAAATTATCAAGGAGCACATCTGTGAAGGACCAGCAGGGGGGATGATGCTCAGGGGCAACCAGCATGG